CTTTGTGCGTGCATCAGTGTGACATGTAACAGCACGCTTTAGGGTTCTCAGCCTAGATAGCGAAGTTATAAATGAGGTCAGTTCACTGAAACGCTGTGGCAGAGTTTTTTTATTTTTATTATTAGTGTTCTGTCTGACGACAGGTCCATATACTATTATGAACAGGATCCTTCCATCCTCTTCAGGTTGTCAGGGACCTGCTCATACATATATATACATTCTTGGCAGATGATCAGAAGTGGTTTGCCATTGCCTTCTTCAGTGTGTGTGAGTGGAGTAATTGTTGGGATGCCACGGAGAAACCGGGGAAGCCCCCGGAGGAAAACTCCGTGATGCCTAGACCACGGCCTTGCCCAACACAAGTTATAAATCTGAGCACCACCGGGAATTGAACCCTGGACCCCAGGCTAGTGTTCTGACCGCTAGACCACCGTACTGAAAATTATAATATATTAGGCCTATTGCTGCAGACACATACATTTTATTTCGTTAGGATTAAATTCAATAACAACTTATCCTCCCATTTAAACTCTATATGCTGCATCCTACCAAATGGTTCCTAGTCGTGAGTACAACACTGCATGAGTTCTCTGATACACGCGCACACAGTTCTCCGCAGTGATTGAAGGGATGCCCTCTAATACCTTCACTTAGATTTAGCATATTTCTATGCTTAATTACTGCCGTCGCCAAAGGCCTAATAATATTTGTAATTCAAACTGTACAGGGTTTAATTAACGTGTCATGAATATGTGTTTTTGGTATCCGGTCTGCTCACTATGAACACATGAACATGTGACGGAATATGTGACGTCTTTTGAGTATAGAGTAAGGATTTTCAAAGCACGGACCGCAGGCTGAATGTAACCAACGCGAAAATTTAGTATTTCCCACGCCTTTGTTCGGTAACATTATTAATAACACATTTCGTTAGTTCTTATTTTACAAAGCTAAAAAAACTGTCAAAAATAAACACGTGTTTTATCCAGTTCTCTTCCTGTGTTGCAAGATTCACTTGGGGTGAGATTACAAAGTATTTATCACTAGACAGTATGCCCGTACGTTTAGTAAACCAGCCTGCACGTATAAATAATATCACGTCATCATGTATGTTGTACTAAGCTTCTTTCAAAATAGGAAATTGTAGAAAAGTTTCAAATTATGTAAAACATGACGAGAGTTCCAGTCAGAGTGGCTTAGTCGTACAGCGATTAGGCTACAGGCTGGGCGACAAGGCTTCGATTCCCATCTGGGCCAGAGATGTCTCTTCGCCGCGGCGTCTATACCAGCTCTGAGTCCCACTCAGAACCAGGGACCGCTTCTCCGGATTAAAGCAGCCGGGGCGAGAAACTGACCACTCACATTCTCCTATTACCGAGGTTAAAAATATGTGGAGGTGTACCTCCACTCCCCCACACGTCTTCATGGCCTGGTGTCTAGTTAAGCATCAGGCAGCTTCTCTCCGGGGGTCCGGGATCGTGCTCAGGTCAGTCCATGTGGGGTTTTTGGTAGAAAAAGTGGAACTGGGGCAGGTTTTTGTCCATCTCAGCATTACGTTATGTTTAAAATTCATATCCGTAATGTTATTTAATTAAAGCTCCTACTCATTCTTGACCCCGGCACTAATGGGGTGACTGGTCAGCGTCAAGCCCCGGCCGCGCTTTACCCCAGGGGAAAGGAACGCCGGTAACCACTGAACAGGGGTCTGGGTGGACCCCAGGGCCGGTCAGGACACGGGCCCCAATCGTCTAACTCGCAGTCAGACGCTACGCTGACAAAGCTACATCAACTCCTTTCGAAACCTTGGAATTCACATAAAAGACTACACAGCATCACTGCCCAAAATACCACAGGCTTAACGGCATATAAATTTCAGTCAATGTTTTTTTTTCAGCGTGGCAATTACAAGCAATCACAGAGCTACTCGCATGTTTATTCAGTGTTATTTAGGCGTTCAACTGTGTATATTATCTTGCAACAGATTGTACTGGTAGTTACACAGTGTGTTGACATACAAAGCGGCATGTTCCCCTGATAATGTAGTGAACGCAACCCCCGTTCTTCTCATAGAAAAACAATGACATCAAACACAGGTAAATAACAGTTATAATGTAATGTTTGTGAGAAAACTGGATAATGTAAAATGTGATTATACACAAAATTATACGCATGAATTCCGTTTAGTCGCAATGTAAAAAAAACATAATTTAAATCTGCACATAAAAATACAGTAATTATGATTACGAAGCCATTTGGCTGCTACCATTATGATAAGAGAAAATGAAAACAACGCAGAATGCAGCGGGTGGCACTTGGAGAAGTTTTAAGCACCACCACCGCCAACAGCAGGAGCACCGATTAAGCTTCCCTGTTCCGCGGTCAATGATCACCGATCTTCCATCTTTCTGTCAGCATCCCTGGCATCTTCTGCTTTCCAGTTGACATTAATGCATCTGAGCAAAACTGGTCTGGAGGGCGTGGTTTGGATACATCTGGCCCAGGATAGAATCCGGTCTGGGGCTCTTGCAAACACGAAAATGAACTGTATTCGCGCCGTGTAATATGGTAAAACTTTACCGACGTTTCAGAGATTCTTACGGCCCTCATCAACGGGGCGATCGCTTAAAAGACAGACGTCCTAAACCTCGCCGAAGTAAAAGCCAGACGTCTCATCTTGCACTCGTCTCGGAAGCTCAAGAAACTTGTAATTCTGTTCATTCGCCAACTGCGCGGTCATGTTCCTGACACAAACCGCAATTCAAAGTCGCTAAGACCTGGCAGCAATCGAGTTTTGAGAGACGATATACTTGAGAATCACCGTAGGGCTAAATACAAGAACAGCGTATTTGCAAACAGGAGTAACATATAAACGTTCAAAGAAAACTGCCGATATAATGACATGTTTGATTACGTCACAAACATTTTAAAACAGTGAAGAGAGTTATTCTTCCAGTGGTATGATGTTCGTAACGAATCTAATAAAAATTCGTCTTTAGTAATTTAAAAAGGTTACTGGATTGGTCATGCAGTTACAAATACGTGGATGCAAGATGAAACCAAGAGGAACATTTTTCAATTAAAAGAAAGATAGACTAGAAATCCTTACGGTAATAATGGTATTTCAATACTTTCACTGTCATTCCAATCTGCAAACCGAAACTGATGCAGAGAAAGTACAGAAGAAGGGAGACAAAACTGAACCCCCGTCTCGATAAATAAAAGTTCCCTTACAACATGATTTGTATCGAACTCACATTCGTTTAATGAGGCACATGTATTCCACTAACACGACGAGAAGACTGAGGTCCTAAGCTCGTATTAACAGAAGTAAAAATTCCTTGTTATGAAACACAGAAACGTCGCTTTTATGTAATTATAATTTTATATTCAAGGAAATCATATTTTTTCCTTCAGAGTTTACTGAATGGATGGAATATATCAGTGCCTAAAGCATACAAGAAGAAAAAGATTATTGTACGTACTTAAAACTCAGTTAGAAACTGAACGAATTTCTATAGCAACTTTGACCAAGGTTCTGCGAAATTTCACTCCTCATTCGTAAAAATTTGTGTTTCGACACCGCAACATTAAACATGTTTTTGTCTAAGATAAATTTTCTCATTTGTGTAGACAGGTCTGCAAAAATGTCACTCTACTAAGTTTAAACAGTAAATAAATAGTCTGTACTTACCACAAGAAATTTCAGGTGGTGAAAAGTTTGTGGATCAATACAGCGCAGCATTCATCTTCTGAATTAGATACATGCCATGGCTCCATCACCGTCAGATTCTCTAAGTATGAAGTTATTTATCGGCAACCTACAACACGAAGAACCTCAATGTCTGAAACCTTGTTGTAACTTAATTAATAACAATACGACTCCATCTAAAACAACAAACTCTCCAAGACAATTCTCAAACACGTAATCAATAAACCAAGAAGAGGCAAATGACATGAAGACCAAACAAAAGGATGTCACGTGAAACGACAGAGAAACGGCAGTAACTGGTGTATAATGTGAAGCTTTACATCGGCTGTTATTAACAAAATCTTCTCGGGCTCTCAGCCGTCAAATGGTTAAAACTTGCCGACGATTCCAGCACCATCTCGGACCTATTCATAGCCCTGAGGATGAGGACAGAGATGGTCCTGGTTCGTTGCTTTTTGAGTTTTGACGCCGTGTATTCTAGTACATGATTATTCACGTACCTTCAGAACTGAAGTGGAGTCGTATTTTTAAACATTAATATATAGTTGTGAATCCTAGTCTAGAAGTCACGTCGCTAGAAAATGAAATATTATTAACTTACACCACAATCCCAAGGTATTTTAATAAAAATAACAATAATATGGCACTGTCGCTTTATGTAGTAAAGATTTATTTTATATGCCCCCCCCCTCAATTCTTGTGGCCTGGCGGCACAAAACTAGCCGGGCCGAGACATTCAACATTGCTAAGCACGTGCACTGTAAAAAATAAATAGAATAAATAAATTAGTGCCTCAAATTTTCCAAGTCTAATACCCGAAGTGATGTAAGCGTATAGCAGGCGTCAATCAAAAACGCCTTGCACTTGTCTTTCTTATGTCGCTTTTCTCTATCTGCTATTAATTATAATTATTTATTATACATTAATTTAGTTGTTTTGTTCTCTTCGATTACATTTCACATAGTTTGGTTCTGTTTAATTCAGTTCAGTTTAGCTTCATTTTCGCTCAGATGAGCTGTCACAGAAATCAAACGGAAGTGATTTAAGCGTATAGTTGGCGTTATAATTTCAGTAAATCTCATTCGACAAAAAAACCTGAAGGTAATGAAACATCTCGTTCCATTCTACCAACTCTCAGGAATTACATAATCTATCACTCAACAAATCATAAGAAAATTACAAACTAATGATAAATAAAAAAATGTGCAAGACATTTTCAATTTCTCTCAAAGTTGTGCGTACATAGCAAAATTATGATACAGGTCAATAATTGCAAGAAAGGATCAAAACTGAGCAGAAATTATTTCCCAATATTTGAAGGCTTATTGAGTACAGCGTACGGAAAGGTATATTAAGGTTTGTTAGTAAGACCCTTGTAGACAAGAATGACAAAATATTCGACTGGTAAATGTCGATGGAAGAAATGAGTGGCTGAAATTTCTGTAAATTTCTGCAAATCCATAGAACTTACGGTGAAGTGGTCCTATTCCACTGTTATGAATTATGTATTTCCCTCTAACAGCCCCACTGTGCACTCACTTGTGAATAACTAAAAACGTTCGGCTAAAAAGCAGAACGGAAATAACCGGCTAGTAAAACGTTTAAAGCCGAACTTACAGTTCAAGGTCCCATATTTTGAAAATTCTTCAGAGTACGTTTATTTACTTGTCTGTCGGCCTCAGTATGAGGTAATCCCGATGCAGTTTAAGAAGGCATCCCTAGTATGTAACGAGAATCAAAGGTGTAATAATATATATATATAACAACGTTGTGGAATTTCAGGTTATCACGGCGGTAATTCCGAAGCTGGCTGTCTGGTAGAAGTTTACCAACGTTTCAGAGACCCCTGTTGCCTCCATCATCAGGGCGATCGCGATAACCCAGGACGCAGCAATCAACATCTTAAATGTTTCTAAGTCCCATCAGATGATGTTTCACGCATCTAAAATTAACTTAGACACTCAAATTGGAGAACAGTGTGTCGTCTCTCGACAGTCAAAGCATGTCAGTATTTCGACAATGTAAGCTACATACGTCGGTCAGTCGCTTTTAACGCCACATTTTATGAAGATACTGTAACAAACTGCTGATTTGCGTGCAGTGCTTGCATCTGTATGTATAAAATTCCATCCCCACTAGCGGACAGAAGCCTGATAATCTGTTATGATGGACTATAAATGACACAAATGCAACTCGTGTTAATGAGAGATGTTTGTTTTGAGATTAAATCGTCAAATTGGTCAATAACATGATTTATTCATTAAATAATATCTACAAAATCTGTATTCTAATCCGAAAGAGCGACAAAACAGTTATAAAACTGCATTTTAGTTTTTATTTATCCAAGGGATCGCAAATATACACCGAACAGGACTCCCATGATCATTATGTGTACGGATTGCTAATATTTTATACGTCAAATGAAGTGAATGTTTTCTGGTTCATAGATTCGTTTATTTACTGTTTATTCAACTACGCTGTCAGCAGTTCAGACTATATACACTGAATTGTACAATTATTAATAAACTATAAATTATATGGCCGAAGCGGTCGTGACCTGATTTAAGGTGCTATCCCAGCACGTCTGGAGGGACCAAGGAAAACCATGAAACACCTTAGTCAGGACAGCGGGTGGTTGTATTGTGTTTGGTTAGGCTAAGTTGAGTTGGAATAGTTTTGCTTTTGTTGGATTAGGTTCTGTTACTTTACGTTATGTGAACTATATTAGTTACGTTAATTTAAGTTGAGTTAGGTTAGTTTCGTTTTGTTTACTTAAGTTGTGTTCGTTTGGATTAGTTTGAATTACTCTGAGGTAGTATGCTACAGAGAAATGTTTACAACTGAACTTTTCGCGACGCTCGGCGTCGGGTTTTCAGTTTCTATGGAGATCAGTTGCCTAGCTAAATAAACCATCTTCACCTAGTCCAGAACCCAGGACACATTTTCATGGACGTGACCTTTTTCCCTGTAATCTCTCTGCAGAAATAAACAGCTCTGTTTTTGGCCCCGTTCATCTGTCGCGCCTAGTTAGGGAACTAAAAAAATCATCTTCACCGGGACTCGAACACAGGACGGAGTTTCTTTGTTCCTGTAAACTTCCCGGTGAAATAAAACGTTTGGTCATAGCGATGTTCTTTTATCACACCTAATTTTCAAGCTATAGGAAACGCCCTCACGTGGAGTCCAATTCAGGACACTTTCCTGGAGTATTGACCCTTCTTTTTCAATTCCTGACTTCAATGAATACTATCTACGATTTCAGCGTCTGGCTTCGATTATTATTCGCAAATAACCTGATTATTATCTCATACCGTAACATTTGTAATTTGGGCGGCACAGAACTGCTCTTACACATTATTTACTTTGAACGTTCCATTTTTCAGGATGTCTATTGTGAGCACGCTGGTGGTTAGCAACGCGACTGACCTGTCGCAGCTTGCGAACACTGAAGCACGCATCATCCTGTTGTATTCTACACGAGAAGAAGCGAGGGACATTCTGACAGAAGCCACCAGGCTTAAACTCACAGGTCAGTGCGCTTCAGAGATAATAGGATAAACTTTACACAAACATCAAACAAAACTGTTCAAATGTATTTGTGGTTAATTTTACGACGCTGCCACTGGCTCAGAATATAGTGTCGGATAGTGAGATGATTTATGAAAAATTAATTCGAAAGTGTATTAAAGGAAGTGGTCGTGGCCTAACTGAAGGCCCTACACCGGCACTTGCCTGGAGGGACTAAGGACCACCACGATAAACCTTAGTAAAAATAATCTACTGTAACTACAGAAATTGCTGTGGTATGTAAACTTTGGATATGACTCTTGAACAGTGCTTAAAGAGGGTTTAATATTTAATAACTACCACAAAACTAACACTGCTGTTATTCATATGACTGGACAGTTTTCTAAAATATGTGGGGGAAACACTGGGCGACTTTTTTTTTCAGGGAGTCGAGAACCAGTCAGAATTTGCAATATTGAAATTAATGGGAATTTTTCATTTCGATATACCTTACGAACAGTTTTTGTCGAACAAATTACGTTCGTGAATTGAGGGATGAATGTAGTTTGCAATGGACCTGTAACGAGTCCTGTTTTTATAGGTACGAACTACCTGTGGCTGACTACACAGAGTGTCATCAGCAATACAATGGAGGCGCCGAGAGAATTCCCTGTCGGCATGCTTGGTAAGTGCCAGCTGTTATGATTTTTAATTTCCGATCAGGAAATTCGTCCAACAGTAAAACGTATTCATGTCCGGACCATTTACTGATAACGAGCCTTAATTTCGGCGCGTTTCCAATTCCAACTTTCATAGACGGGGCGTATAAACACAATACATTTGAAGGCAATTCACCATAAAGGAAAAAAACATAGCTTTACAGACAGATAGTCCCCGCACTAACGAATAGTAACGTTCCTGGAGGCAGTTCGTAACAAGAAATTTCGTAATTTATTACTTTGTAAGCTCTATAAGACGGAGGCCCCTAAAATAAGGATTAAACATCACAATCAAACTTTTCTTTTCATTCTATTCTATTCTATACTCGTATTAGTGAAAGCAGTGAAGAAGTGTAAGAGATAATGTGTATGCTACAAAGGAATTCCTTGGTACAAAATATCCTAAACTGGTCACTTTCTTCATCTCTGTTTGGCCAAAATAAAAAAAATCCCTTGCTACGTTTGTTTTCACATTTGTGATTTACATTCTTCTCTTTAAGTAAGGTACAACGTTTCACATGTACAACACGAATATCAACATTATTGATTTACATACTAAAGCTTAGTATTTTGCAGGGCATACGAACCTGTTGTTTCCCCCCAAGTTTATAATGACAGCAGCAGGAAACATGGAAACAGACAGAGAGACAGACAGACCCAGCCGAGCATGCAACATTTTACGTGTAAATATATCGAGAGAATCCGTCTGTTAGACTCGGACTTTAAAACGCACAACTTCCAACATCTGTACACATTACACAGAACACGACACACACAGATACAGAGACAGGCAACACAAAAAGTGGTTTATCGACGTCAGTACTGAAACGATGTACTGCACACAACCCTCAAGGGAAATCTGCTCGATGTGTTTCTTCAAAGTAGGGATGTGTTTGAAATTTAGTAGGGTTCAGTGAAGGGGGTAAGTTAAGTAACTGCCCTCCACTCTCTCCTATCGCCCCTTCCAGAACTCCGTGACACAATCAAGACGTAATCATGTAGACATATTGGCTCTGTAATGAAAAGGACGGCATGTACACAGAGACTGCACTATAAAACCAAGCTCCCGTCCCAGTTTCTTAGAGGTGAGATAATGTGAGATTTCATGTTCTCACGGCGGCGAGTATGAAGATGGCGGTCTTCTGGGTAGTTGCGCCGTGTATTGTGGTAGAAGCCAACAGAAAGTTCAGATGTGTTTGCTGCCTACATCTTCAGGTCGATGAGTAAGCCGCGCGCGAGAAAATGGTTTAAGATATGGAATCAGTTAGTCATAAAAGAAATTATTACATCAAATAATACCATAATTTGAAACCGTGTAGATCCTGTTTATGGAACTTGTATTTGAAATTTCTATCCTAAACTATAGTCTAAGCGTCTAAAATCTCCACACAAAAGGAAGGTTTCTGTAGCTGGCTGAAAGAGGTGATATAGATGGCAGCCCATCTTCCAAGACAACATGAAAACTAATTACTGAAATGGGGAACCGTAAGTTTAAAAGTTTCATATCTCTCGTAAGAAAGCGATTACATTAAATTTCATCATATTAAATTACTGTAAAAGGCTATTATAATTCCACCAGACAGACAAGAAATGTTATTTTAGTATAATCACACTGAAAACCATCAAAGATCTAATGTCTTCGTATGGTGTAATGATAATCAGGAATCTTGGCTATAATGTCAGGTGCTTTAACATGCTGTTATCTACAAGAAAATCTTCAATCCTTAAAGTGATTTATTCTTTACCTTTATTTTAACAAAGAACAATCTAGGAAATAATTTCCAGTGGTGGAACATCGTGTCATAAATCCCAACCAAGGTAAGTCCTTCTTCTCAGACTGAGATTTTAACCTTCGTATGGACTACGACCTCTTATTTGTTTGATTTACAAATAAAAAAGTTTCTAAAAATGAACCATCTTAAAGTCTTCAAGTTAAAAAGGGGGTGAGACACATATTCTGTTAGATTCGGTACACCGAGATGTCCTAATCTGAGCCCACATTCTGCAGGGGCAGACAGAGAGTTGCTCAAATCCATTAAAACAGACTACATTTGTGACATCAGTACTGTCCTCACGAATTCAAACATTCTGTACATAAATATCGAAGCGATGATAAATACAATCAATCCTAAACAAACTTCAATAGCAAGAATTGTACTGTAACTGTAAACTAGACCTAAAACAATTGCGTGCTCACAGAATTAACAATTCAAACATAATTTATAACAGGAATTGCATAAAAGTAAAACAAATCTCCAATAAACATGATTCAATCAAATTCATTGTGTATAATTTTAAACATATAAAGCAAATGCTAATGTAGCAAATAACACTAATAATTTAAAAGTTCGATAAATCTAGACACGTGTATGGATTTCTGTTCGTTGCTTTGTTGTTATTCCTCACATCTCCCGTTTACTCTCGTCTTCTCTCTCGGAAATTAAAACACAAACGTATTGACTAAACTTTGTATCAAATAGTTTTGTGAGTTGTAGTCTCGATCTGTAATCCTAGATAATTTAGTTCAAAAAGGTTGAGAACAGATTGGAATTCCTCATGAAAGAAGTTACTTCGCTAACGCAAACTAATATGGCAGAACAAAATTAGAACTAATGAAAAGAAAATATGCTGTGATGATCCGAACTGCATGAGGTCAAGATCCTGTAATGAGCTACTGCGATGATTACGCAAACCTTCCACCGGAAATCTCTTAAAGATTTCAGACCCTGAACGGCTGAGGACACTCGTACTGATCACAGCATAATGTCAAGAGGATCATATGACATATTACGTAGTTCATTTCCCGGCATACGCGGTTGGGTGTTAAACCATCTTCTTTCCCGTTCAAAAGGTCAAGGGTACTGTATGAAGTTCATCAAAATTTCTTAACAAATAAATTATGGTATAGTACCTTAAAACAGGCCAAAACTATTTCCATCCTAATTCATAATTCGATCTTCTTTGGCCCATCACACCCCTGTTTTAATTCCAGATATGATTATGATTAGTCCTTTGTAGCCGAAGCTCGTCTAAATAATATATTAAGAATTCAGCCAGTAGAGCAAAGAAAACATAACATTTCAGAATTACAAAGATCGTGTGGTTCATGTAGATTCACGAAATAATCCTTTAATACAACTGACTTCTCGGTTGTTACGCCGTATAATCTGGTAGATGTTTACGGACGTTTCAGGGGTGCTGCTACCCCACCATCAGGACGATCGGCCTGATGATGGAGGCAGTAAGCACCAAATTACATGGCTCAATAACCAAAAAGACAGCCATCTTCATACTCGCAACCGTGAGAACCTGCAATCTCAATATATTGGTTCATTCCCGAGTCCACAAGAGCCCGCCATATTAATTCAGTCCACACTGTAAAGTCCAATTTCTCGCATATCCATCTTAATATTATCTTTACATCTGCGAATAAGGCCTTCTACGCGATCTCTTCGATTCAGGTTTTAACACGTGATGAGAAATAAAAATTATGATATTCTTCATAATGTGCTTTTTCAGCTTGTTACCCTCAGTGCATGAAACGTAAACTACAAAGTTTGTCGCGTAGCTTAACAGAGCACGATTCTATGAAGACGTACTATCACCTACATCTGAGATATTACATACATACATACATACATACATACATACATACATACATACATACATACATACATACATACATACATACATACATACATACATACATACATACATACATACATACATACATACATACATACATACATACATACATACATACATACATACATACATACATACATACATACATACATACATACATACATACATACATACATACATACATACATACATACATACATACATACATACATACATACATACATACATACATACGATACATACATAATACATACATACATACATACATACATACATACATACATACATACATACATACATACATACATACATACATACATACATACATACATACATACATACATACATACATACACACACGCACACACACGCACACACGGAAACATGAGCAGATCAGAAGGGCAGAAGACAGCTCGAAGCTTACAGGGTACAACTTCTCACTCGGTATTATAAGACTTTTATCTCTTGGGATATTGTGGCCCGGTCTGACAGCTTTCAGCGAAATAAGTCTCACAACTTAGCCTTAATGCCGGAGGTATGCCTTTATCCCTTCGACCGAAAGATGGGATTTCAACGTATCAAAATATTAAGGCTGCTTCACACTAAATCATCGCCAACTGACATTCATCTTTAAGGGTCATCTTCCACGCAAAAGTGTGCGGAAATATGAACCAGTGTACCCACGGACTTAAAGAGCTGTAACGCTATGTAGACCTGCACGTGGTTAGAACGCCTTAGAGGAAAGTGTCGCCTTCATAATCAGGGTAGACTTTACGTTACATCCCTCAGAAACATTGGTAAACACCCAGAATTCTTGACTTCTGGAATGGCTGTGAGCTTCATAAAGATCGATTATTTTTTATGTAATTACATGTTTAGGTAGTTATCGAGTTGTTCAAGAATCCGTATATTCATATGGGGTATCGTGTTTCTCAAAGATTGATTTTAATATTACACTTGAAATCAGTGTCTATATCTTACTATATACAGAGAATGCAAAGAAGATAAACCCTGTGTGTTATGTTATCTGCTACAGGAGTA